TCTCATTCTTCATCCTGGCAAACGTGTGGTAGTAGGAAGCCACGTACGTAATTATGGACTTCTCGTCCGGCCGGGCCTGGTCCACATCTGAAACGTGATTGAACAGTGGGACGCTGACTCCAATGTACATACTGGGGCACAAGGCGAGCTTTTAAGCTTAGAAAAAGTACAAAATAATGTTATGCAGCAAATCAGGTATACTTGAAATTATTTCCAGTACAGTCACTACAAACTGATGTCTCACAACATAACAATTCCCACCCCCAATCTCTCCGGCAACCGACCTTCGGCATCCAGGAGCCGCGGGATGCCCAGCTCGTTGTTGGCAACATCAAAGGCATTGTTGAGGTTTTCAATATGGCGAGATGGCTGCAGGGCACTGAAGTTGATGAGGTCAGGGCGGTGGGAATGAATAAGAGCATTGAACCCAAGACCACTGCGCCATGAACCTGCACACATGACAGCATAATGAGGAGTCATCTGGCCACGTTACGTAAAAGGAGACAACTGCGAAAGAGAATAACTTTGCAATCTGATACCTGTAAAGTCCTGGATGCTGACTCCCGGGTACCCGTTCGTCTTTCGCTGGCACCACAGCAGAAGTGCGTCCTTCGCGGACTTCTTCTCACTGCTCTCATTCTCCTCATCCTGCCAACATGCCGTTACTTTACAGCTGCATATTTTTATTTCCACCTATTCTAAAACACGTTTCTATGAGCTGTTTCAGAGGTGGCATTACTTCATCTTTCAGACCTGACGAACCTAGATGTCACTATACGCCAACCCACATTGACAATGGCACTATCAGGATGTACAATATGTAATTACTAGAAGGTCTTTATGCTGTAGTATTGGGGGGGTAAAGTATGGGCTCATCGATGTCTGACTGTCAGTCACGTTTTTCCTACAAGGAGTAAGCAACTGGAAGGCCAGAGTCACTGTTGTGTAACAATACATTTGGATCAGATTAGAAAAATGACCCGAGGTGCAACAATGCTTTCAGATCATATCAGCGCCACAATGACCTACACTCGTCAATTTGCTGAAGCAGTTTTGTCGTACGTTACAGAAGTAAAGTCTTTTATGTTCAATGAGATCCCCTCCATGGCATTCCTAGTTACCAGTGCTTTCTGTTCCAAGAATTTCTTATAAACCTTCACAAAACCAGAGAAATTTACATTTGTAAATAATATCAGTAAGAACTGCCTTTCAGTGGAGAAAATCCCATATAAGGGACTCTGTTCGCAGTCTTGATTGGAGGGGAAGGCAAAGCGTGTGTAACTTCATTGCTTTATACTCTTCTGAAAAGAATTTTAACATTTCTCCAGTGTCAAGTACTGTATTACAAATGTTATTATTTATAATAAAAATATCAAAGTCAGGAAATATTTGTCTGGAGGCGCATTTATTCTATAAAACCCGCATGTTCAGTTTTACCACGTCTTAGACATCCTTGAAGAATTTAAGTTTATGAATGCTATCAGATATTCTTTCTTCCGAGAAAATTTTTTTGAAAATAATAAATTACCAGCCAATATTACCATACATACCAACAATGGAGTCTGTTTAGCCTGGTTGAAGTTCAGTCTAAATATGGTTATGCAGACTTGCAATTCACCAGGTAAGAAACTGTACTACAAAATAATATATCACTTCCACATGCAAAGTTGGCACAATCACTACTGCATAAACGTCGCTTGCAGCTGCAAGTGATTTTACTTATCTAATCCAACCGTAATGTTCAGTAGCGTCTGTTCCCGTGGCTGGCACAGATGCGTGCATTACATTATCATCACGTCTACCTCTAAAAAAGCAAAACATCGAGGGCTCATAGGATTCCACATCTGGTTTAAGCTCATTATGGTATGCCTTCCCCACGCAGAAATATGAATACTGTACATTTTACGTCAACATCAGATTAGGAAAGTATTACTTGTGAACCGAAATAATAAGATAGTTCATAAAAAAAAAGTAACACGTCAATTGCAAAACTTGTTTTTACGTCATCACCCATCCCTCTGCAATCTGGTGAGAAAAGTATAAACCCATTGTGTTTGAATTTCCCACTGGCGTAAGAATACAGGAAGTATGATGAAAACGGAACCTATCGGCTTCTTAATGACATCACAAACTATGTCACCTACCTTCAAGGAATAGACGGAGGTTACAAGATTTTGCACGAGGGACACCTTTGGAATGTCGGTGCACTCGAAACAGTACAACTTTCCAATCCTGTTAATTTATGAATCAAAGTATTTTGAAGGAAAGTGCCATTCCCCAGAATATTAAACAATATGAAGTTATCTGCATGTTACTTCTGTCATGACAAACAAACAACACGAGGATCGGACTTACCACATCGATCTCGATCTCCTGTATCTGGAAGCGCAAGATTATTGTCCATATCAGACCAAGAATGAGACGGGGGTTCCCATCAACAATATCTTCTGCACCAATACTTTCCAGTCGAACCTGAAAAAAGGCATGCAACCTCCAATACAATCTGTTTGTTAGAGGAAGCAAAGTGTCAGTACATGCTGTCCAATTCAATATGCCGTTACATTTTGAATTCAGTTCAGCCACTGCTTAGAAAGCGCCAACATGTAACATTAGTCCCACA